ACGTGTGCTCTTCCGATCTTATATATATATATATGTACATATATATACATATATATGTATATATATAAATATATACTGCTACGAGAAACCTTACTCTTGTATAGGTCTTAAAATAATTCCAAGCGAATACTTTTTGCGACACCTAAAAAATTAGGGCGTATCACAAAAACTGATCCATGACACGTTGTGTAAGGACTCGTATATAGACTACAACGTGCAGCTCTTGTTCGAGGCGGCTCACTTTTCCTCGTCGAGCACCCCGTCTCGAATTAATCCATCATTCGGCAGTAGGCGACCCCTTACGAGTTATTATACATTTGGCATTAAAAGTACAGTTATCGTATAATGCGTAGGTATAAATTTCGAGTGTGTTATCTTGTATGTACGGCGCGCGCTCGCTATATCTGTTGTGTGTGGTGTGTGTGTGTGTATGTGTGTGTATGTGTCTGCCGTCAGCTGTGTGCATGTACATGAGTGGGTGTATGTCTCATACTGTGTGCGCGTGTGTTAACGTGTGTGGGTTTTTTTTTATCTTTATTACATGTACATAGTCTGTACGACACGACGATGACACGACTATCTAGATTGGAAAAAGGTGGCGGCGCGCTCGCGAGGCGCCGGCGACCCAATAGCTATAGTATGTTTGCTAGAAGAAGGTTTTTACTCTCTCTTTCGCTCTCTCTCTCTCTCTCTCTCTCTCTCTTTCTCTCTCTCTCGCCTTTTCCTCCGTTTTCTGCTCTCCCGCCGTCCGAAGGCTCGACCGAGCGGATCCCCGTCCCAGGCGGACGAGGGGCCACCACCGCCTCGATCGTCCTTCCCCGAAGCTTGAGAAGTCGAGCGGAAAAACTCTCGGGAGACACTCTCGTTCATCTCGTCCGCACTCTCTGTGTGTATGTGTGTGTCTCCGTCTCAGTTTATTTTTTTATTTTTTTTTCTTTTGATTGTAAGCCTCTCTCTCTTTCTCCCTAACATCCCTCTAAAGATATTTCGTATGCACAAAAACATCGCGCTCGCGTTATAACGTTCGGGAGACGCGTATGCGCGATTATATATATATACTATAAACTCCCGCGAGGAGGTGAAGTGAAATTCCGGACAGAGCTCGAAAATTCTTCGCGAGTAGCCTACCAGGTCCGCATCACCGGTCCCCGGCCGCAGACGGCCACGAAGAGAGAGAGAGATCCTCCTCGGGGTCGTCGACGCACCACGTCCTTCGACGGCCGACGATCCACGCAGCGGCGATTGACGTCGTCGTCGTCGTCACTCCTCGTCGTCGTCGTCCTCCTCCTCCCGCAGCCACCGTCGTGATGGCTTACTATTCGCAGCGCGAGTCCGTGAGCGGCTCGAGCTTCACCGGGATCTTGTCCTTGTCCTTGAGACCGTGGGGGCTCTTCACCAGATCGGCGATGTCCTCCTGGAAGAGATTCTCCGGGCGCGGACTGACGAAGCTCCGCGCCGGCTTGTACGTCATGCCGCTCACGCCGATGCCGACCTCCACGCTGCTGGGTATGTGGCCCGACGGGTCCATCAGCGGGCCCAGCGGGCTCGCCAGGGGACTCTCCAGCGGGCTCTCGGGCGGCCCGCCCGAGCCCGGGCTCGCCAGGCCGAGATTCAACGGGGAGTTGCCGTTGTTGTTGCCGGCGTTGTTGCCGCTGCCGAGGCCGCTCGCGTTGCTCGTGTTGTTGTTGTTGTGGTGCTGGCTGGCCTGCATCGCCGCCTGCAGATTCGACGACAGGCTGGTGGACAGGCTCGTCGACAGGTTCGTCGCCATCATGTCGTGCTGCTGCGAGTGCGCTGCCGCCACCATGCTGCACATCTGGTGTCGTAGACCTGGTGGATACGTCGAAAATAATGTAGAAACGATTGAAATTCTCTTAATAGAATATATGTGTGAGTAAAAGTTGTTTCGACAGAAATCTCTAACGAGAGAGAATTAAATTTCAATATAATTGGTGGAACACCAGGTCCCTAAAGTTCCTGATACACGTCACGAAAAGAAGTTAATTTTCTTTGAGCAGAGAACCCAGGAAACTTGCAATTTTTTCATTTTTAAATATTTTTATGATTATGTGTAGAAAAAACAAAAATAAACACTCTTAAATCAATGTCAGACTACGAAATAAAGATTGAGAATTGTGAACTGAAGATTAAAATTTGACCCAACAGATAATTTTAATTTTAATTCGTTTCATGTTGATTATGTATTAAATTCTAATTTCCAATTTGTAATCTTCAATGCGTGATCTGATAGGGGCTTTACAGATTTCTAGACGCATTGTAGATACGAAAAAAACACATAGACATAAAGCCTATAGACATAAAATATCCCAAAGCTTCCACGAAATTGATATTTCGGTTGAATTTCAACGAAACGGCCGAATACTCGCGATTCGTATATACCATAGAACACCTAATCGCCGGTCTCGGAGGAGGCAGGGTTGGAAAAGTTACTTTGTAAAAGTAACTAGTTACAGTTACAGTTTTTGTCTTTCAAAAAGTAACTAGTTACCGTTACAAGTTACCGACTCTAAAAAGTAACATGTGACAGTTACAGTTACTCAAAAAGTAACGAATTGTTATACTTTTCAGTTACTTTTAATAGAACAGCATTAGCATTATAAAAAAAGATTTACATTTCACATGTTATACATATAATTTTATTTAAAAAAGAAAAGTAATGCGTGTATTTAAATATGAGTATTTAAATATTTCGCATAATTACAATCAACATTACGATTAGGTGATTGAGCGAAAGTTTGTTGCATAATTTTGATTCATGAAAGTGACGATTTGACATATATAGAGTAATTGTAAAAGTAACTATTAAATTAGCTACTAGTTACTTAAAAAATCCAACTAAGTTACAGTTACAGTTACACATGGAAAGAAAGTAACGAAGTTAAGTTATTGAAAAAAAGTAACTGTAACTTCGTTAAAGTAACGAGTTACTTCCCAACCCTGGGAGGGGTAAAAAAAAAAAACGAAAAGATGGAGAAGAGCAGAGAGAAAAGTGAGAAATTTGTTGCCGTTACCTTGAGCGACCGCCGCGACCGCAGCCGCGGCCGCCGCGCCCGGGCTGACCGCGCCTTCCGGGCCGTTGCAAGCCGCGTAGTTCGCCAGGCTCGGGTACATCGTGGTCGGCGGCTCCTCCTTGACGATGTGGGGCGAGTGCCCGTCGCGGAATACCACCGCGCGAATCACGCCACGGATGTGCTCGTCCGGCCAGACGCCCAGCAGGATCCTCTGCGGTCGTCCTCGTCCCTTCGGGCGCAGATCTACAGAGCGGGAGCGAGAGAGAAGGAAGAGAAGTGGTGCGCGGGGAGAAAGGGCG